CCCTTCCTGGATTGATCTGAAGAAACCGACCCTGTTCAAGAGGAGGAGCCTATTCCCCAAGTGTAAGGACTGCCCCACTCCCAGGACCACCGGAGAAGCAGATCTTTACAGACTGAACTGGTCTCCCCATGCAATTCCTGATATCTGATCTTTCTCTTGAGAAATCCAGCTGTTTGAGAAACTAGAGCACACATCAGCATCATTTTAAAAATTCATTTAGCAGTGTGCACTTAAGCAGATATTCGCCCCATGTGTTTCTCTTTTAAAAACCTTTTAAACCTTCCAAAGAAAGACACCTATGTGTTTCAGCTGTTTTCTCCCTATAGCTTTGTGGCACACATGATTGTGAAAGGGGTTAATTGAAAAGTTGTGTTTTTTTTCAGAGAAGGAGGGGGGAGTGAGTGAGTCTAGGAATGATGCCGTTACTCCAGCTTTACTCCAAGCTTTTTACAAAAAACGTCAGCACACAGGAAACAGGATGTGGCTTCTCTATTCTTTCCCCCTGGCTTTGAAACTTTTGAAACATTTATTTTTTTTAAAGCACAGTTTAAAAAAACATTGCCCTCCCAACCGCACTACAAATCCCAGCAGCCTTGTCCTGCAATCCCTTTGGCCACCAGCTGCCAGAAGTTTGAAGCGATACTTTCCATAAGTGCTTATGTGCATGCTCAAAGGACAAATAATAAAGAAAAGTTCCCACTCTGCAGCTGCCATCTGATTGGTCCTCCATGGGACGAGTGCAGGGTGAAGCAGGTTAAGGATGGGATGTCTAATCAAATTTCTCCGTTACAAAAAAATAATGGAGACATTTGAGATGTGTGATAATCCTGCCATGTGACCACAGCCAGAATGAGTCAATACAGTCAACAAGGTGGGACATTCAATAAACAATGAAATGAGATTTGGGTTGTCGAACCAACTAGAAGTCTAAAGACAGAACTGAAGCAAAGCATAAATATTAGCATGACACATTCAATTATGCAAAATTACACAATAGGATCCAACCCACAGCAAACTATACACAGTAGTACAAACCAGAGTCTCCAATAATTTATCGAAGTAACTTTGTGACAATGCTAATAAGTTGCAGTGACTTCTTGGCTATTTCTATTTAAACTTTGGATTTGATCTTTTACTTTATTCTCCCTTTTTTGCTTTCCGTGTGCTCTGGGGAATCAAATTCTATTTTACCTGTGAGCAGTTGTTGCAACTCGATCTCAGCCATCAATTTTTCTATTTGCATTTGAAGAGCCCCCTGCACTAAAAAGGTCTGCTCTGTCTGTTTTCAAGAAAACAAAGCCAGTTGCACTGTCGGATTTAATCTTGATGCCGGATATTAAAAATACTTTTCTGATTGCTGAAGAACAATAGTAGGTCCCCCAGTTTTGCTTCACAGTCATTGTGATAAAAGTCACCATGCATATGGAAAATTTGTTTAGAGAAGCAGATAGATATACAGATCTGTAATCATACCATAATATGTTGCTACAAGAATTACAGGCCTCTGGGGGAAAGTTCTGTTAAAATTCAGCCTTGAATAAACGGAATAACTGATAAGTACTGAGAAGCATCACTGGAGCTTAAAATACACAAGCAATTTGCCTTTATGAATTTTGACAGCTACCTTACTAGGCAGCTTGAACCATGGTTGAACTTCTCTTTAAGGAAGCATCCTTGCTTTTTGGCATATCCTTAGTGGATTGAGGAAAAGATTATTTTCTTTGGTGACTGCTACTAGCAAACGTTTTTACAAAACCAAAAAATTAGAAGTTTCATGAGAAAATGTTTTGATCCTTGTTTTACTGGGACATGATGCACATTACCTGATCCTGAGGCACAGACATGTGTCTCGCCCTCCTTTCAGTCTATGGAAGTTTAAGCATATGGACCTCTACATACATTACATGAGAGATGAAATCAGCTGTCAGACAATCCAACAGAAATAGTTACATGAGTGACAGAGAAAAGCAGCACCTAAAGTCTGCCTTCTCCAGTTATCGCATTTCAAGAGGAATGAAGCATTGTGACATACAACACCAGAAGCAAGAGAGGAAACTGGAAGTTGGAGACATTCACACCACACCCCAACTGCAAATATCTGATTTTTGCATTTGTTTGCTAAAAGTGTGGGACACACAAACTGATGTAAAACAGGCAGCTACCACTTTCAACAAATACCATACCAGCCTTCTAAGAACACAAAACATAAGATGTAAAACAGAGATGTGAAGTTTCTGGAAATTTTGAAGCTGGGGGAAAATATTAACATTTTGGGGGGAAACTGAAATATATGCAAAACTTTCTTACTTATAAACCCTAAACTTAACTTATTTAACAACAATGTACATGATGTAGTATCTGGCATATTCATGGAACTGAGAATCATAAACACTTTACATTTCTACAAGCAAAGCTGTGAGTATACATAGGCTTACTAGGTGCCCACTAATGAGCAAACTCTCAGTAATTATTGCCAATGCCCACTAACACTCCATCTGGTTGGCAGGCTGAAGCAGGCCAGCAAAACAGGAAGGAGGGACCAATCTTTGTCACAGCATGATGATGTCACTTCCAGCATGACCCAGGAGCACTGGTATCATACCAGGGCAACAGTCTTCACTCGCCTAGAAACTCTATGGTGACCAAGAGCTAGAGCATTTACCCTGGCACAATGCCGGCACTCCCAGGTCACACCACAAGTGACATCATCATGGGCCAACAAAGATGCCCCCCAAGGATCTCATGCCAGTTTCCAGACTATACACAATACAACCCTAGACTATACACAATATAGCTGCAAATGGCTGCATGCCATGCTACCTTCATATGTATTTTATTTATTTATTTATTTATTTTAGCCCTCCCCCCAAGGGGATTTTTTTATTTGCATTTTCTATAAACTACAAAAACTACCCCCAAAAAATGTATTTTAGTTTTTGCCATATGAGAAGTACACAAAATACAAGTTGAAAATAGAAAACAAATATAGTAAACAAAGTGTTTATTATTTAGCCTCAAAAAAGTCTAATACAGTCACAATAGGAAGCAGCACATATGGATCCTATATTAAACTTTATAACATGGACAACACTGAATTATTTGATAATATATGCACTACCATATTAATTTTGGATACAACTGGTCACACTGAAACAATGATGATTTCTTTAAAAATATGAATATGCCTACAATATGCACAGTAATTATCTGTACACCTCCTTCATAACCTGATTGTAGATTGTAAAAAGAAACCATAGAATGAGGCCAGAAAGAGACTAGGAAGAGTTTCTACAAAGTCAGGTTTGCAGAACTGAAAGGGTGTGTGTGTTAAAATATAAAGATCTTGCAAGATTTCCTCACAAGAGTGTCTTACAAAAAATTCTCATATTATACATTTTGAGTAAGTAAAGGTAAAGGTAAAGGTTCCCTTGCTCGAAAGCCAGTCGAATCCGACTCTAGGGTTGCGGTGCTCATCTCCGTTTCAAAGCCGAAGAGCCAGCGCTGTCCGAAGACATTTCCGTGGTCATGTGGCCGGCATGACTAAACACCAAGGCGCACGGAACGCTGTTACCTTCCCACTGAAGTGGTCCCTATTTATCTACTTGCAATTTCTTGCTTTCGAACTGCTAGGTTGGCAGGAGCTGGAACTAGAGACGGGAGCTCACTCCGTCATGCGGCAACTCGGGTCTTGAACTGCTGAACTACTGACCTTCCACAGCCTGCAGTTCAGCGTCTTAACCACTTGAGCCACCGCAGCTCCTTTGAGTAAGTACGCTACCTTAAAAAAACTTTCATTCATTCTGATAGAGAAATTACTTCATAGAAGGCTCCCCTCCCCCCAGATCATCAAAATTTCCAACTTTACCACTGAATCAAAAGAAAAAAGAGTCCTTGAAGGGAATTATTTTCTGAATGTTTCTGTTTTTTAACTCAGGTCCTCACATCTCTAATGCCAAATAAGCAACATGTCCCTGGCCTTAGTGAATAGAAATTGTCAGCTGCTATAAGAACAAAACTCAATCAGTTTTTTTGTTTGTTTGCTTTTGCAAATCCAAGTACCATAAAGAGTCAGCTACAACCCCTCCCTCCTCAACACTCTTCGTAATAAGGAGCCATTTACTTACTGCAGCCATCTTCATCACTATGGTCCCCACAGTCATTGTCGCCATCACACTGCCATTGAACTGGGATACAAGTGCAATCACCAAAGGCGCTAACGGCACAGGTAAAGTGGTTGCGTCCACAGGAACATTCAGTGCTGCTATGTACAGCTGAAAGGAGAAAAGAATCAGCATGACTTAGAAATAAGGGAAGAAGTCATAAATTTTATTTTGATACACACAAAAGCAGACCATGAAGAGACATTGAAACGGTGTCCCATTTGTACCCTCCCCATACAATACAATCACTGCAACAATAAAAACCCACTGTAAGTTATATTCCTGAGTTGCAATAGAGTTAAGAGCCAAAGGTAATCATTTTGGGGAGAAATCGAGGGCTTGATACAGTGACCAAATATTTACATCAATATCCTGTTTCCAAAAACCTTTATTCCCACTGCCTGCCATTACATCAGCATCTATTTGGTCAGCTCTCAAGAGCTCTCTGCAAAGACATGAAAATCTAAACAAAAAAAAAGAAAGGTCCATGGATTTGTATTTTTAAAAATTCCAGTTTAAAACCATAATCAATACCTTCACTTCGGCCCTGTTCTAAATTCCAGGATATGTTGGGAAAGCCATTTGCTAGGGTGGAAAGGGTACCCAGACTCAGCGCAGGCGCTCCTTGTCCAACTTTTCAGCCCCATGGCTTCATTTTCCCTTATACACCTTAAATAAGAATTTTGAGGTTTATGTGCTTTCGAGAGTCATGAAACATTATACCCCCAAATTATCAACCATTTTAATTCTGCAGGATCCCACAACCTGAGGGTATGTAATCTAAAGGATACTGTAAAAAATTATGTAAAGAATTTCCATCTCCAAATCCAAAGTATATACTACCGTCATGCCTGATGTGCAAAGGAGATCTACAGACAGAATACCATTTATTGATTTATTCTTTAATATTTTCTTCTTCAGTTTCTAACAGCACGCCTGCAAGTTCATATTCTACCTGAAATAGGAATATATTCAGTGTTTTCCCTGAAGATATAGAACCATATCAGAGAGAGAAGAATGAACACAAGTACAAAGAGATTCAGTAACAAATAATTCCTTGCAAGTGAGCTCTGCTTTCAAAAATAGGACATGTGTGACTAACCAAGTGTTTCAGAAACCCAGGACAGGATCCATGCTTAAAATATGACCCTCACTGTCTCATGTTCCAGCCCTGGTCAGCTAAGGAGATCCGGAAATGAGCAGGAAGTCAGGAGACATGCCTACTGAGCCACCAAAGTAGTAATTAAGAGGAAAAGATACACGTCTGGTCAGAGTGTTTCTAGCGTTATTTGACCCATTCTATGTCAGGAACAGTCATAGTATCCCTTCTCTGAATATGAAATATTTCACTAGCATATTTCACCTTGAAAGAGGACAAGGGAATTTATCCATATATTTGCCTTTAAGAAGCAAAAACAGGAGGATTTACCTTCATTCCTGTATTATAGCAAACTCTTCCCTTTCATCAGTTCTATGGTGATACTATTAAATCTCATTACAGCAAGATAATATTGCTTGCTATTTTCTAGCAAGTCTATGGTACATGTTCCTTGAGAGAACTTAATAGATTAACGTTATTGAACTTTCAATATATTGGTTAGTTGGATGGAAAAGCCTTTCTGGTATTGAGGATGTCCCTACCATGAACAGGCTTCTGTAGCAAATGAATGCCATTTTTTCCCCTTGCTGGTCTTGATCCACAAGTAGCAGTTTTTTACTAAAGAAAAGTACAGCTAATCCATCCTTAATAGAGGGATTTGCTGAGCCATTGTTGAAACAGAAAAGTCTTTTGGCAGAAACTGGGAATCCCACATTGCACTTATATGTTCTGATGACAGAAGAAACATCACTCACTGATACAGGCCACCAAGATGTGCTAATAGCAGAAGAAGTAGAACTAATTTCAACTGGGGGTCCTTTGGCCTCCAATGAGCTAACACCTGACTAGAATACAAACCACATAAAATGGAGCTTGGAAACACAAGCTTCAAGTAGAAACGATTCAACCTTTCTGAGATGTCACAACCCAACCTTCTCAGTAGCCTTTATGTAAAATTTTGTTTAGCTCCATTCATAGGTACCCTAGCTGAAAATGGGTGCAAAGAGCTCTATATGTTGCCAGAATGGGTGAAACAAGGTAAAATTTTTGGTTTGTCAATTCTGAAATGCAAGCACACCCAAGCAACATGGCAGGAAATCATAACCAAGTTTAATTACCCAATTCTGAAGGCAGTGGTTGTCCAAGTCAAAGTCAATCATACTTTGACCTCTATAGGAGGCTGCTCTGGCTACAAATGAAACACCTCCCTTATTGAAATGGGCCAAGGGGCTACATGCACATGACCTTTACACATACAGCTCCCCAATCCTGGTCTGAGGAACAAAGTCCATACTTACGAAAAGCATATTTGGGCAATATAACAGGGTTGCTCTTACCTGTAACCATTGTTCATTGAGTATCTTCTGTGCAGGCATGCATTGGGACTACATCTAAGCAGGCCTGCTGCAGAAGATTCTTTACCAAGCTTTTAAAAAGTCCTCTAGAGGGTAATCTGCCTCCCTCATACCATAGTTAGCTGTCTTTTCCCACTGAGAACTGTCACATGGTCAAAGGGAGGGGGGTGCCCACCCCCCTCAGTTCCGTTGGAATCGTCACAGGTAACCAAAGAAAAAAGAAATTGTCTGATACCTCACAGTGAGGTAGGTGAGGGGGGATGTGTGCCTGCACAGAAGGCACTTGATGAACAATGGTTACAGGTAAGAGCAACCCCATTTTCATCAGTTTTCTGTGCAGTCCCCCACTGGGATGTTCCCAAGCTACAGTCTAGGAGGTGAGGTGAGGTCCTCACCTTAGGGGTCACTGGAATATGGAATGCAGCATGGCCTTGACAATTTCTGATTCTCTTTTTGCTTTCAGGTCCAGCGCATAATGCCTCATGAATGTGTCCAAGGAGTACCAGGTGTCTGACCATCAGCTCTCAAGCAACTGGACACTTCACAGGAGTATAGCGGAGGATGCTTGTGCTCTGGTTGAGTGAGCACATACCCATAAAGGGAAGGCAGCTTTGCTTGCTCATAGCACTGTTTGACTACAGAGACAATCCATCTGGACAGTGTCTGGGAGCTCACTGGTTTCCCTTTGTTATACCCCATATATGAAATAAAGAGATTATTGCATTTCCTAAATGGTTGGTTCTCTTGAGGTAAAAGAAGAGTTTTCGTCTGACATCTAAGGTGTGAAGTACCCACTCCGCAGAAGAGGGGCTAGTAAAAAACACAGGTAGCACTATATCCTGCAACATGTGAAAGGTGGAGAACACCTTGGGTAAAAACTCTAACCTAGTTCTGAGTACAACTTGTTCAGCAAAAAAATTCAAAAATGGAGGGTCAACATGTAAACTGGCCAGCTCGTTAAACCTTCAGACAGAAGTTATGGCAACCAAAAAACAAACCTTGACTGAAAGGAGATCGAATGGGCAAGTGGCCATAGGTTCAAACAATTCCAGCATTAGCTGCAAAAGTACTAAGGAGAGGGACGACTGCAGTACCAGCATGGGGCAAGGGGGTACATGTTCATTAGTCTGTTCAAAAGCTGTCTGGAGACCCTATGGGAAAACATGATGTAGCCCTTTATAGGGAAATGAAAAGTCAAAATGGGCACCAGGTGGACCATCACTGTGGAGTAGGCTTACCCATGTGTCTTGAGAATTAACAGATATTGTAAAATCACTGAAAGAGAACACAAGCTGTGGGAATGACCATCAGAGTGGGCCCAAAGTTGGAAACATTTCCATTTACTCTCATAAGCCCTTCTGGTAGACACCTTTTGAGAGCTGTGAACAACCTTATTAATATGTAGGGGTAAAGTCATATGTTCAACAACCTCCAAGCTGTGAGATGGAGGTGGGGAATATTGTAGTGAAATAACTGACCCAACATCAATAGCTTAGATAAGGGATGTGAATGAATGAATGAATGAATGAATGAATGAATGAATGAATGAATGATGTTTATTTGCGGTCAAAGACCATTTATCAAAATATTACATGACTATGATGGGGTACAAACGATATTTATTTATTGACTTCATTTATAGGTCTCTTTTTTTGCAGAGTCTCAAAGTGAATTACAACTTCCACTTGCAAGCAGAAGCTTCTGCACCCCACAGTATCAAATCTAGCCTATTCTATTTCTGGAAGGAAAAAGTGCCAAAGTATGAACTATTTATTTTGTGTTCCCTAATTACCAGTTGAAGCTGGTAAAAGGAACTCCTGGCCGAAGCCACCATCTGCTTATCCACCAGTAGGCCTGGGTCCAAGAGCACCCCTCGGCTACTGGCCTGTTCCCTTCAAGGGAAGTGCAGCCCCATCCAGAATGGGTGAAACCTTTAATCTGGGTCAGACCTTCTGCCCACCAGTAGCACTTCTGTATTGTCTGGATTAAGCTTCCGTTTGTTAGCCTGCATCCTTTCCAAAATTGCCTCCAGGTACCAGTTCAGGATTTCTACAGCCTCCTTGCGTTCAGCTGGAAGTACAACGGAGCTGAGTGTCATCTGCATATTGATGATAGGTCAGTCCAAATCTCTGGACAACCTCACCCACTAGTTTTGTGTAGATATTGAAGGGCACAACTCCAAAATTGCGGGAGCGGTGGCGCAGGCGGTTAGATGCCTGCCGAGTAACAACAGAGACAGCCACTATGGCTGTTCGAGAATCCACCACGTCCGGGGTGAGTTCCTGGCCCGAGTCCCAGCTCCCGCCCACCCAGCGGCCCAAAAGCAATTAAATCAAGTGAGTAGGCAAATGGGTAACCACCCTTAGATGGGTGGGGGACACCCTCCTCCGACGAGGTGTGTGGTGGTGGCAGCACCTACGGCGGCGAGAACATCGGCGGCAAGCAGAGCCTGGATGGTGAGGCGTGGTGGCGATGCAGCAACGAGAAGCCAGCAGAGCGACCCCTGGTGGCCGATACAACATCAAGCGTCAGACGACGGCGGAGACGAAGACCAGAAAGACGCACTATGACGTGTTTCGTGGGCGTGGCGGAGCCGAATAGGACGGAGCCGAGGCTGGAGCGAGCATGAGCGTGCGCCAGAAACGGTCTCGCCGACAAAGCTGTCGTCCCAGGGGGATGCCAGAGACCACCGGAGAGAAATGCCGAGCCAGACGTTACAACAGGCCCACCACTGGGGTGCTGGTAGGCAGTCCCACCCCTATATCATGTGGCCTTAGTCAGGGATTGAGTGTTCTTAGAACATACCATGTAAACCGCCCAGAGACCCTTCGGGGTTAGGGCGGTATAGTAAGTCGAAGTCGAAATAATAATAAATATATAGCAATATCGGTAGGTGGCATGAAGCAAGCTTTGGTGGGTGGAAATTGGGATCTGTCATGTGTTTCACCATATCGCTAATGTGGTAGTTGAATAGTATAGGGGCCAGAAGGCAACCTTGCCTAACTCCCTTAAATGTCCTTATTGGATTAGTAAGTGAGCCCTGCGAATTATATCTCACTCTGAGGTATGACTCCTCATGTAGGGCACAAACAAGATAAAGCAATCTTTTATCTATGGTGGAACATTCAAGTTTTTGCCATAATCTTTGTTTTGAGACTGAATCGAAAGCAGCCTTCAAATCAATGAAGGCAGCATACAAAGTGGTAGGGCTTTTGGCAGCATAGTTTTCAATTAGCTGTTGCAACACTAAACAATGCTCAGTCATTGACCTTTCTGCTCTAAAGCCCACTTGCTCTAATGGGATGATTTCTTCTTGTTCCAGCCATGTTTCTATTTTCCCCACTGCTTTGGAATTTGGCCGGTTTGGTTGATGTAAATAAAAAAGTTTGCCAAAAACTGCCACACCAATCTACATTCTCCTTTAAAACTTCAGCGGGTATTCCATCTAACCCAGGTGCCTTTCTGTTTTTTAAGCGGTCTATATGGGCTTTTATTTCTTGTTGACAAACCGGCGGCTATAAGGGGAGATCGTCTATAATTCCCAAAAAGGGGAACTGTTTATGGTCATTGTAGAGATTTTGAAAAAAGGTTGTCCAGCCATCTGCTAGTATATGGATGTCTAGGGGTGAGGGCATTTTGGGTCCCCGAGAACTAGTTAATTTCCAAAATAGAGCAGAGTTATTTTGCTTTACTGCCATTATAAGATTGTCCCATAGTTTCTGCGTATGTTCTCTCTTTTTCTTTTGGATAGTACATTTATATAGTTTTTTTCTGTTTCAGTAAAGCTACTTGAGCTTCAGATTTCCTTTCTAGATTATTATTCAAAGAGAGAAAGTATAGATGATTTAATTCCTTTTTTACATGACGACATTCAGAATCAAACCAAGGTTTGTCATTTCTATGATGTTGATGTAATTTATTCCTTACCGGGGCATCATAATAGAATTGAGCTCCTGAATGAGGGTCTGGTAGTCTGTTAAGGGGTCTTGAGTAGAATCAGGGTTTGTAATTACTAATATATATATATTTCTGCAAATTTTCAGATGTTAAGCTTTCTTTGACTTTTTAAATCTAATTCGCTGGCCCACCTTAGTCTTTTCCCTAAACATTCTACTTGTGGTGGATATTGGACCTCTTGATGGTTTCGATTCAAAGGAAGAGCTATCTGTAAATATAAAGGTAAGTGGTCACCTTCCAAGTATGGGAGTACCTGGAAGGATTTAATCATAGGGAGTAATATATTGCACACCAGCATATAATCAATGGAACTCGCTATATTTCCTGCTACAAAGGTATATTCCCCAGGATGATCACTGTGGAAGGCCCCATTTAAGATATATAGCTGTTTTCTTCGTGCAAGTTTAGTTAGACAAACCCCTACAAAGTTCACTCCACAATCTTTAGATACACGCATAAAAGGCAACCCCATCTGATCCTGATCCTCTATTAGGGAGATAAATTTAGATGCTAGTACTGCATCATTTTGTCCCAAGCAGGCATTTAGATCACCTGCCAATAAGATTTGGGCATCAGGATGTTCTAAAATAAGGTCTGTAATGAAGTTATCTAGTGCTATCCAGTTTTCCTCAATGAGGGACTTTTTCAATAGAGGTGGGAGATAAGCATTTACTATAATTATATTTCTCTTCTCCACCTCACCAATAAAGTCATAGCTAAACAGTCCAAAGTGGATTTCAATACACAGTGAGCCTTAAGAGAATTAGAAATTAAAATACCCAGCCCTCCCTTTAATCTTCTCGAGCCTTTTCCTAACATAGCCGCTAAATTATAGGAATAGTATCCATCTAGATGTAAGGTTTCTGCCGACCAGGTCTCCTGTAGAATTATGATGTCAAAGTCACATTGAAAGAAGGGAACATCTATATACGAATAAAGACATCGTGACCATCCTGCTACATTTCAGGACAACATTTCAAGTGGCTTCTTTGGGGATAGTTAGGGGCACTTTTCTCCAGCAAGTGGAGAGGACTC